TAAATTAAACCTATAAAGTGTTTAATCTACACAAAACAAAACACATATAGCTAAATTGTACTTTCTTAAAAAAAAATGTTAAGATTCCACAAGCTAACCCTAAAAACACATACAATATAGTTACCAAATCCTAAACCAAAGAATATCATGACAAACTTATATCCACTCATCTATCTTGAAAACTATTCAGGTTTATTAAATCTATATTTACATATATAAATGTCAATAATTACGTGATTATGATTTTTTTATCAACCAAAATATTTTTTCTTAAATTTATAAATTATTTTTAAGATCTACATTATGAGAAGACTTTCAGGTAAGTCTTGTCAAAGTCTTCTCACTCGTAAGGTTATAATGATAAACTACAATCCTGTTTTTTTTTTTTTGTTTGGTCATGAAGGAATGTTTCTAATTTCACTAGTCTTTTGAATTGCTTTTGCATTTGATTTGATTTTGGGTACATTTTTACATTTAAAATCAAGATTTGAGTCATATTTGGCAAATTCTCCAATTGTCTATTCATAAATTAACCTGTTTTTTTTTTTTGTTAATTTATTTTAAAATAGAATAACATACAATTTTTTTATTTTTTTGCATTACTCATTATTAATATTGTACAAATATTAACTAAATTTCCCATACTAAAAAGTTTATATTTCTTTAATACATGCGATTTAGTTAATATTCATAAAATATTAATAATGGTCAATATATGAATATCGATTTGGTCAGAAAAGATTTGAAATTGTAATTAATTAATAGGCAATTCTCTCAAATATACCCTTTTTAAGTTTTTATCAAAAACTAAAATGACCAAAAGCATTTTTTATTTTGAAAATTTTAAATCTTTTTTAAAAAAAAAAAAATTTTGAAATTATATCCCCAAAACTCCATTCCTCAACTCTAAACCTTAAACCCTAAATCCTAAAATTTAACATTCAAAAAAATTATGTTAAGAACAAGGCCGTCGTCATCTCTTTCACCTTGAAATGAATATATTTAGCACTTACGGTTTCCATTTTATTCGACTTTGAGGAGGATCTGTCGAAGCCAAACCGGAGTTAGGGTTCATCGTGTTCAGGGACGACACCGACTTAGGGAGGAGGTGATGAAATGAAAGGCGGCTGCAACTGAGATGAAATTCTCGGAGACGGAGGTTCGATGTGTAATGAAGAGGATTTGAGACTGCAGAAGACGAGTCTCGACAAAAAGTTTTGTCTTTTGGAAAATATTATTCAGTTCCTATTAAATTAATCCAATGGCAATTTTGTTAATAATAACAGTAAAGCTGTTTTTTCTTGTTACCCTTGTAATAGTAATTAAGAAAGTTTTTGAGTTAGTATAATCATTACATGTATTATTTGAATCATTATAGGTAATTTCTCTAATTTAAATCACTACTATACAGTTGACAAAAAAAATCACTACTATACCGCCACCTTTAACACCACTGGTTCATTAAATTCCAAAACAAATCAGAAAGCACTCGCGATGTAGAGTATAAGACCACCTCTATTGGTGGTCCTTAAGTGGAGTTTCCAAAGAAAACGAAAAAATAAATAAATGAAAATGACAAAAAAAGAAAGAAGTGGTGCATATTATAGGTGTTTAAGAAATGGTAAGGAACCTTACGTGGCAGTGTGTTATTGGATCATGTCTCTTTTGTGTCTCTCTCCTTCACGAAAAAAACAAAGCTCTTCTCTCTCATACACTCTGTCTTCTCACTCTTCTCACTATATTTATTACTAATTTATTGATTAGTACCCATAAAGACTCCTTATTGATGAACATGCTCTAATCCTCATTTAGCTTTTGAAATTCTAACATATTTTGGCAACCAATGAAATTATATTATATTTTAAAATAAATAAAAATAGTAAGAATTACTAAAAAATAATATTATTAACATTTTCAGAAAAATAGTAAACCCTAAATCATAAATAATAAACCCTAAACACTTGGATAAATCATGAATTTTTGAGTAAATTTTAAACTCTAAACCCTAAATCCTATAACCCTGAATCCTAAAACCCAAACCCTTAATCCTTAACCTTAAATCCATAATCCTAAACGCTTAATCCTAAATTCTAAATCAAACTCTAAACCTTTAATCGTAAACCTTAAACCCGCGGATAAATCCTAAACTCTAAGATTTAGGGTTTATCCAAGAATTTAGAGAGTTTTCAAGATTTAGGATTTAGTATTTTGGTGATGGCATGCCAATATTAAAAATATTCCTGTTTTGGTTATTACTACTATTTTTATTTATTTTAAATACATTATAATTTCACAAATTCTTATTATTTTATTTCTTTTCTTAAAAGAGATTGAATCTAAATAACTAAATAATATAGATTGATAAATCTACATGTTCACTCCGAAATATTCATCCTATGGGGTGAACCCAAGAAAAACTCTATTTACAATCAAATAAAAACTACTGGACTTTGTTAATATATAATTTCGATTATTCAAAATTCACTCTAGAACCCCAACGTTAAAATGTGACCAACTTGATTGTAATTGCTAAACAAAGTTGATATTATTATATCTAAGATCTCAATAGCTATAGATTACTCAGTATATTATTTCAAATTAAAATCCACCATTGATAAACTTGATTTATGTTATGTCTAGCTTCTTGATATTGTTGGAGATATATGAAAACCTCACAAGTGTCATTGCACAATTAAACCCACCAAAGCGAGGGATTCACTGAGCTAAATGGAAAAAAAATATTTATCAAGAAAAGATGGCGGAATTGGTTTTGGCATGATCCAAGATTTCAATCTGGTTTTGTTAGCAAAACAACTATAGTGTATTGTGGAACATCCTGATTCATTGGTGTCTCAAGTTTTGAGAAAAAGATACTACAGAATGAGCTCGCCTTTGCGAATAAGCTCTGCAAATAACTCATCCTATGTGTGGACCAGCATATCAGCGGCTCGCAAGCTACTGTTACTAAGAAGTAAACAAAAAATTCATGTTGGATATGAGGGTAAAGTGTGGGAGGACCCTTGAATTCCTACCACACAAACCAGACCGGCTAGACCTTTGGTCCCTCTGATAAACCCAAGAATGCAAGTTAGTGATCTTATTAATAGGGAAGTGGGATTATTGGAGAACCATGTTGATCCTGATGATATACCTCTTATTTGAAATTTAGCCATAAGCTCAAATCGTCACCGAGATACATTCTGCTAGAGTTACACAAAAACTGGTCATTACAAAGTTAAATCTGGTTACTGGGTTGTTCAAAATTTATTTTGAACTGAGGAAGAGATGGAGGTTTTTGAACCCAGTATAACTAAATTCCAAACCTTTATTTGTAAAGTTAAAGTACCTAAAAAGATATGTCATCTTATGTAGCAATTGATAATAGGTCATGTGGCTGTAACGAGAAACCTAACTTGCCGTAATATGAGATACGATAATTATCGCCCCAGATGTGGTGAACCAGAAGAAATTGTTAAGCTCATGCCATGTTTTAATGTCCTCCAGCTCTGCAAACATGTTCCTTATCAATAACACCATCTAACCCTAACATCTTCACCCTACCAAGTATTTATGCCAATATGTGCTACTTTTTCCGGAGAAAGAATAGCATTGTCAAACTACAATTAGATAGGGATTCGTATCCCTGGATAGTATGGTATATCTGGAAGGTTCAGAATGATAAACCCTTTCGTGGGATAGCCCGAGACCCTTTGGAACTTGTCCAATATGTGGAAAGAGAATGCCAAGCATGGTTTAATGGAAATGAAATGGTAACCCTTACTCCACAAGAGCAGACTATTGAGGGATCCCAAGTCATAAGATTGGATAATATATGTATGGTGGATGGCTCCCACATCACAGTTCAGTGGTTGTGAGTGGGTTTGGATGGATAGTTTGAGAAAAATTCAGCTTATGGGGACACATAACTTAAGAAGGCGAGAGACTGCTTTACATTTAGAAGTGGAAGCTCTACGATGGGCAATAGAGAGTATACTCCAACATTCATTATGTCAGAACTTCGAGAAAGATTGCAAAGATTTGATCACAATGATAAAAAAAGTCTCACGCTTAAGTTTTACAACAGAATTGGAAGCGATATAGATGTTGGTTGTTTTCGGACTTCAAGATTTTTCATATCTCGAGAGCGTAAAATGGAGTCGCTGATTCTTTAGCTAAGACTGTAAGATCATTTTCTCGTGAACTTTGTTTCATTTATTGTTCTATTCTGGTTTGGTTATTTAACAATCTCAAGTTTGAGTAATATAATAATCGTTTTTGTTGAAAAAAAGAAAGAAAAACGTGACTTCTTTTAGTTGGTCATGTTTTCTTCGCGAGGTTAAGGATTTGTACCCTTGAGAGTACATGCTGGTTTACAGGGTATAGTGTAGATAGATTGCCACACTTAGTCCTTCAGACACGCAATTTCGGAATGTAGAAATTAGAACTGTAAGAATACTAAGAAATGTTATTTTAGCTGAAAAATAGTTTTGAAAAAATATTATCCAATAAAACAAAGTTGGTATAGTTAGATTTTCTTGACAAGAAAAATATATAATTAGTTTTTAGATCTCAATAGTTAAGGAACAGCTGAAAAAACACACAAATAAAAAGCTCATACCTAGAAATTATTTTCAGCTGAAGTAAGAAATTTCAACAGATGTTTATATCACTAGCCACATTTTGAACATCTCATCGAATTTCAAATTAAGAAACAGCACCTCTTCAACACTATTTACATTTTGCATTCGTATCTCATCATGTCTTCATGAAAATGGGACTGTGGAAGAACCACCAAAGTTGCATAAACGTGAAGCAAAAGAACCATCAAAAGTGTGTTTCGTTGGCAAAGAGTATAAACATAATGCCTCATATAAGAGAGACCAAGAGAGAGAGAGAGAGATCCTGATAAGCTTGGTAACTTCTCTAACAAAAAGAAGGAAAACAAAAGCTCTTCAGGTCTGAATCAATACCAACAGCTTCTTGGTGTTGCAATCCACTTCTCAAGAATCATTATAATCTGCTTGTGTTATAGTTGTTGTTGCCGCTAGGATACTACTCTCTGAACCTGCATTAGTTTCTTCTGGTCCTTTCGTAGTTTCTTCTCTATTTTCAAACATATTCGCCAAGAACCCACCTTCTGATGAAGCAGACTGATGAGGATTTGTTTCTGTTGCAATGGCCGACGCACTCATTTTCTTGTTGCCAAGCTCTAGCTGAAGCTCCTCTGGCACATCGTCAATGGGAGAAACTGGTTTTTCCTCCATTCCACGAGTTTCAGCGTCTTTAGGAGATACCTCCTCCTCCGTTCCTGATCGCTTTGTCTCATTCTGAAACAGTTCAAGGCTTAGCGTAGAGCTACACCCTGTGGCCTGCGTTGGATTCGTTTCAGATGCTGGAAAGAAATCAACGAAAGTAGTAGAACCTTTAGCATATGAATCTTTAAGTAACGTACGTAGTACTTAATGTAACCGCTGTCTTACTTGCTCCACAAGCTTCAGATCGCAGGACAGTATGGTCTTCTTTGGCAAACTGTGGCATCAAGGAGAGGGTTTGGCCCTCAAGTTCAGTAAGCTTCTCCTCTCCAGAAGAACCACCAACATCTTTCATCTCTGTATCCATAGGAGGATATGTCTCATCAATAGCCTCAGAAACAACACCTTCATCGCTCATTGGATGAACATCAGGCAGCGTAGCAGATTGATTTTCATCGGCCATCAACTCATCAGTTTGATTCCCAGCGTCTTTCTTCGACTGAGTGGTTGGAGTTAAAGAGGGAAGCAGGACATCTTCTCTTGAATACATCTTAGCTTGGGGAAACAAGTCAGTTGTTGGAGTAACTGGAGAGACTTTTCCCGGTAAGAAAACAATGCCTTTCAGCTGCTTATCTGTGTCAGCGACCTTTACGTTGAGAAAATACCCTGCCTCGAAAGAACCTTCAACCACACCAGAAACAACCCGACCTATCAGATTTTCATCAATGGTGGTAGTAGTAGTAACAGGTGGGTTCAGTTGTTGCTGAGTCTGGACTTCATCTCTACGAGGAGGACGACCCCTTTTCCTCTTAATTGGTATCGATGAGCTCCAGCCTTGATTCGTTTGATCCATCCTCTCTGGATAATCCATGAACAAAGTCTTCTGGTGATAAAAAAAAAAACACAGAAACAAATCATCTTCTTTAGTTTCATCGGTGTTCTCATAGTTACCATTTTCTCACAGAAGCTTGCACATCAATCAACTTAAAGTAACTACAGTTTGTGAATCTTCAGAACAGTTTATGTGCCACGAAAACAGGATCCTCTTAATGAACCAAGTTTAAAAAGAAAAGAAAAGAAAGAATGAGATACAATTCAACGAAACTCAACAGCATTTTGCTCAAGATAGATGAGAACGCAACACCAACACTTTGAAGGACTTTTAAACGCTGTAATTACAAGACTACAATTTCCAACTTAGGGGAAAAAATAGCCATTTTTGTTCAAACAAACGCTGACTGGTGAAGTAGTTATTGCCATTGCTTAAAGAGTAATTGTCACACACAATGTTAACATGTGGCCATGTCAGACATATATATTCGAAAACGTCAAATCCATGCAAGAAGAAAACCAGAGTTATTTATTATAATCCAAATAAAGAATCGATTCTGCTTTCAACGTTTCTAAACGTAGCAAGTTCCATGAGATTCAAGATTGAAACATCAATAAGCTTACGGGAGATTACTAGATAAAACAACTTCAGCGACAATCTAACCTAGATTCCAAGCATGGATGAATAAATATATTATCCATGAAACTGACACTTTCCCGGGGAAAAATCAACACTTACGGCGACCTAATTTGTCGTTTCTCCTTTCCCTTGTACAAATACTAATCCGTAGATTCTCTTTCCTCTTGGTTCTCTCTTTCTCGTCGCTTCGCCTTCCTTATCTTTTTCAGGGTATATGGAAAAATAATAAAATATTAATTTGAATTTACCTTAAATGGCCCCAAATGGTTTCCCATTAAGCCCAGTTAACTCTATCCGCAAAGTGGGTTTTTGAGAAGCCTTGTTGGTAAATATACAACACGCATATTCAGCTTTGTGAAAGAAAAAGGAACTGTACATAAGTAATTACCGTATTGTGAAAAAAGAAGGTCCGAATTATTCAGCACATATATATCACATCTTTTTACGTAAAATTTATAAGTTCAAATGCACATTTTGAAACAGTAAAGGTAAGTATGGAAGATAGACCCAAACTAGGAACTAACCAATAGTTCTAATTAAGAATGGAGAATGCTAGTCTAGAAGGGGTTTTAGATTTAGAAATACCACCTCGAAGATACTAGACCGTAAATTGAAATAGAGTAGAGTTGAGAGGTTTTAGGAAATGTTTTTATTTCTGATTACTTTCTTCTGCAAATACAGGGACTACATATAGTAAATACAAAGATTTTGCAACGGTCCAAACATGTGACCATAGTGCTAACTAGAAAACAAAAGCAAAAGTGGAAAATGAGATAAGCATAAATAAGGATATTCCTTGATGATAGACTTGTCACGTGATGACTCATCATGTGACAATACTCCCTCCTTCAGAGCAACCTTGTCCTCAAGGATTGAATAAAGGGAACTTGGCGGCAAAGTCATTGTAGAATTTCCATGTTGCCGTTGCAGGTGTCTCTCCCTTCCATTGAACTAACACTTAAGTGACTGCAGCATTGCGTCTTTTAACTGTTTTTGTTTCCAGGATAGCTTCATGTTCTTTGGAGGTGCCGAGGTCAAGCCAGTATTGAGGAATATCAGGGTTGGATTGAGGTGGGTTGGGGCAGAGTTTGAGTTGGCTGACGTGAAAGGTATCATGTATAACGACTTCTGGGGGTAGACATAGTTTGTAAGCAACCTTTCCGATGCGGTCAGTGATGTGGAATGGTCCATAGAAGTGAGGTGAAAGCTTGTGTGGTATCTTACGAGTCTTGAGAGTGTGTTTACGGTATGGTTGAAGCTTTAAGTAGACAAAGTCTCCAACGTTGAACTCTCTGTGAGAACGGTGAGCATCAGCATACTGCTTCATTCTGTTCTGAGCACGGAGGACGTGAAATTTGTGCATGTTGATCACCTCTTTACGTTTTTGCAGGCTTCTATCTACAACATCTGAAGAGCTTTCTCCGGGGAGGTAGGGGAGGTGAAGTGGTGGTGGCTGGCCGTAGATTATTTTGTACGGTGAGGATTGGATTGCAGAGTGAAACCTGGTGTTATACCACCATTCAGCTAATCCAAGCCACTTGCTCCAAGATGTTGGTGTTTCTGCAGCCATGCAACACAAATAAGTTTTAAGGGTTTTGTTGGTTACCTCAGTTTGGCCGTCTGTTTGAGGGTGATAAGCAGTGGAGTGTTTCAAATCGACGCCATGAACCCTGAAGATTTCTTTCCAGACTGTGCTGAGGAAGGTTGGATCCCTGTCACTGAGCACATCCTTTGGCATTCCATGAAGCTTGAAGATGTTATCCAAATAAGCTTGAGTGACGCTAAGAGCCGTGTAGGGATGAGATAAAGCAATGAAGTGAGCATTTTTACTCAAGCGATCAATCACCACCAAGATGCAGCTTTTACTGTGTGAAGGAGGAAGGCCTTCAATAAAGTCTAAGCTTATGGATTCCCAAACTCCATCAGGTATGGGTAACGGTCGTAGGAGACTGGGTTTTGCAGCAAGATCATACTTGTTGTTCTGGCAAGTAGAGCAGTTCCTGATGTAGTTATTTACCTCCAAGCTCATTTTAGGCCAGTAGAAGAGACTTTTTGATTTGGTGTAGTGTTGCGTCTTGACCAGAGTGACCGCCAATAGCTGGATCATGAAGCCATTTTAGGATATGCAGCTTCACCTCTTTATCATTTCCAACAACTAGCTTTCCCTTTCTACATAATTCGCCGTTGTTGAATGTGTAGTGGGAATGAGAAGCCTTATCAGCCTGAAGGTCCCTTATTATCCTCTGTAGGTTGGTGTCTGTTTCCCAAAGGAGCTTCAGTGAATCGTAAAAACCAGAGTGTGCATGAGATAGCACAATAGTCAGTAGCTCAGACCCAGAGACACGTGAAAGCGCATCAGCAACCACGTTGTCTTTACCTTGCTTATAGTGGATCTAAAAGTTGTATCCCATTAGCTTGGAGAGCCACATATGCTGAAAAGGTGTCGTTATCTTCTGCTCCATAAGGTATTTAAGGCTTCTCTGATCAGTATGGATGATGAAGGGGCGATGAGCAAGATAGGCATGCCAGGTTTGGACTGCGTGTACCACTGCCATAAGTTTCTTCTCGTACACAGAGAGTGATTGTTGTCTTGGACCAAGAGAACGGCTATGAAGTGTTGACATGAAGGAAATACTAAGATAAGAAGAGATGACCATTGGTACGAGCGTGACCATGAAGAGCTTGACCATATGGTCAACTACAAATAAAATGACCATTGGTGCAAGCGTGACCATGAAGAGCTTGACCATATGGTCAACTACAAATAAAATGACCATTCGTGCAAGCGTGACCATGAGGAGCTTGACCAAAT